GGGTCAGACAGGGACCCCACCTCATCCTCTGTTGTCTTCAAGATGGGTTGGTATGGTGCTCAGGGGAATGCATGTTTCTTTTAAGAGTTTAGTACTGGGGTGTGAGGTTGGAAGGTGATGCTCCGAGGTCTCAGGGCAGCTACCCAGCTCCCAAATCTGCTCCCACCTCCAGCTCTTCTTAGGGAGTCTCCATAGGCACCACCAAACCCTTCTGGCCTCCTTGGGTGGCTGCTTTGTCCCCAACCCTGGTGACACTGCTGAGGAAGGACACAGGCAGTATTTAAAATCCTCTTTCTGTGGAGATGATAGAGCTTTTCAGAGTGCCAGTCTCTCTGCAGAGTGGGAGCAATTTCCCTGTAATTGGTAAAGTAACCGTAACTGCTCTGTCATTTGTATGTAGCGACACGTAATTGCACGGTAACCTTTGCTGTGGTGCGCAAGGGAAGCGCTGTAAGCTATTAGATTGTAATTCGGAGTGTCAGCTCCAGCTCCCCGCACCACCTCACCAGGCTGCTGCTGCTCAGCCAGCCATGGGGAGGTTGTGCAGTGTCCCTTGGCACCCAGGTCCCACTGGGGCTTCTGCTCCCTGGTGCTCTCAGCAACAGAGCCCACGTGGGCTGGAGGTCAGACTTCCTGAACCTCCACCCTTCGCCTGGTGAGGCATGAAGGTGCACGTGCTCCGGTCAGCTCTGGGCTTTCTGGTGGAGTGAAGGGGGCAGGGGTGAGGCTCCCAGATCTGGATTTGCTCTGCCTCATAGATCCAAATGACTGTTCTGTTCCTTCACCTACCTCATCCTGACTGATCTTTAAGAAGCATCCTCTTTGCTGTTTTACCTTGACAGTAATAGCATCTTAACCAGCACCACACCTTTGAGGTGGATGCCATAGATTTCCTCAGGTGTTGAGACTCAATGTGTATCTGACTTTTCTAGTAGTGACAGACCATAAGAAAGGCTAGCATTCTCATAGTATTTACTAAGTGGTGGATACTGTTCTATATGGATTAAATTATTTAATCTCTATAGCACTAGGGAGTGTGTACTAGTTTTATAATCTTCACTCTACAGATGATGAACTAAAGAATAAAGAACTTAAGGGATTTTTCTAAAGGTCACACAAAGTAAGTAGCAGAAATAAGGTTAAAATCTAGTTCTGCAGTTAGCCACTGTGAAACCCAGATTTTATCTAGTCATGCATCTGTCCTTCTATCTATCTATCCATCCACTGGTCCATCCATCCATCCATCCATCCATCCATCCATCCATCCATCCATCCATCCATCCATCCATCTATCCATCCAACACACATTTCTTAACCTGCCAAGAATTGGGTACTAAGTTACAAGTATATACAAAGATACATAACACATGATCTCCATCCTTAAGCTCATAGTCCCTGGAGTACACTGGATCACCTCTCTTAATTTATCCTATCTCCACACATTCCACAAGGACTTTGGGGAAGTGGAAAGGAGATACAATGTCCCCTTGATAGAAGTGATCTAGCAGGTCTGTGGATGGGGTTGGCCAGGTGGTCACCCCCTATCCCTCCATGTGATGGACCCTTAGGTGCTTCCCTTGGAGTTGTTCTCTAATTAACAAGTGTGATGATGGTGGCCATGACTTACCCATGGATATTTGTGGAGTGACTGGAGAGGAGCCCAGCCCTGGGCCTGTGCAGCTAAGCTGATTACAACCGAATCCAGTCCTGGCTCCTCTGGCTATAGTTCTCATCTTGCTGTTAATGGGGCTCAGGGGAATGCTCTGGCAGAGCCAGAAAGCCACTCTCCCTCATCACTCAGTGTGCTCAGGAATCCACACCACCTCTCACCTGTTGAGCCTTTTACTAATAAGCCTGGTGTTCCCAGATTTCTCTTTTGCTACCTGCAGGATCTGTGAGCACTGGGTTCCTTCTTGCTCCATTCCCATACAATTATTTCCTGTGGCTACAGCACAGGCAGCAAGCTAGGACCACTCCCTGCAGGAACTTCCTCTAGTCTTGGCAGGATTTCCACTAGAAATCAATGTACAGTACCTTCCATTGCTGAAGTACTTCTTTCTCACAGTTGCCTCTTCTCTCAGTGCCTTACCCAGTTATCTCCTTGGCCCTGGTTTGCCCTTTAATAAATCATGTGGTACAGTGAAGGAATATCTGAGCTACCATGCAAACCTATCCTATGATATGCTTCTACCACTCCTAACCCAATCACCCCAGCTGTGAGGAAGCAAAATAAAGCCATATCCTGCTACAGTGGGGGGACCTAAGCATCCATACGGTCCTGGGCTGAGCTCAGTCGTATGCTTTGATCACATCCTCATCTCCTGGGGCCTCAGTGGGAGGCAAAAACAGAACCCTAGGAAGCTTGGGATGAGAGATGTCATTGTTCCAGGTGGTACTTTATGAGCCCCAGTTACATCTTTTGCCTCATTCAAACCCAGTGACAAATGGGTAGGCAATGAGCAGATGACAGTCATGGTGTAGGGAAGTAGACCAAGCCCTTGCCTCCTGATGGACTTGGGTAGGGAGCTGCATGAACTGAAAATGGTCTGCAAGGAAGGGCTGTCCTCCCTTCCTTCTGATGCAAACACCCCTCAACCACACCCTGGCTGCATGAGGTGCTACATGGAAAGAGGGTCACGGGTCACTGACTTTCTGCCTCAGAGCAAGCATGACTTAATGATGCAGCTATCCACATGTATGATATCCTTTCATAGGTGGCTGTTGATTTGCGTGTGTTTTGACCTACCAAAGGGAAAAAATGCATTGGGAACTGAAAAAAAATTCATTCAGGAGGCTGAAACAGCTGAGACCAGGTTAATGAGGAGTGTGTGTGTGTGTGTGTGTGTGTGTGTGTGTGTGACAGAGGCAGTGTGGGACTGGAACATGCCATGTTTCCCTGCCTCATTTTCCCCCTTTGTAGAAAAGACAATTATTCTGACTCATGCACTCAGAGAAGGGGTCACATGGCTAAATTAGAAGTTTTGGTGATGGCAGAGGTCCTAAAGCACAGATCAGGCCCCAGAAATGTAGGGGTGCAGATTTTTTGTGAGCTGAAAGCAGCCAATTTAAGGCTGCTTCAGCCAACATTCAAGGACTTTGAGGATTCCCAGTCCTCTAGGCTGCTGGTGATACCTGTTAGGATACTACCATGACATCCAGAAAGGAATGGGCATCACCTGCCCTAACTTGGATCATCTCTACTGGCCTTCTCTCCATCCCATTGCCTTCTATCATGCATCTCCTTCCCCAGGTCCTCCTTATGGGATGAACATTAAACATCATCTAGACTTTGAAAGCTCTCTCCTAAACTCAGCTGCTGTGGTTCTTCTTAGTGGGAGAAGTGAGAGTTGCATTTGGTCTGGGCTGTTTGACCAGGTGAAGTAGGAGAAGCCAGAGGCTATCAAAGACAGGAGGCAGATATCTTCTGTGCATGTAGCCTGTCTACCCAGGCTTGCCCACCCTTACCCCTATGCACCTGGGCTGCTCTACCATGGGAAGATGCAGGAAGGGGCTCAGAGAAAGCTGTTGATGTTCCGCATATTCCCTTACCTGAATTGGGTGATGTCTGTCCCTATCCCTTTTTGGAGGGGGCAAAGGAGCCCCAACCCTGGAGAGCCAAGTTGGCCACTTTTACGTAGCTTGGCTGGAAAGAGCCTGCCTTCTGTTCTCCAGATGCCTGTTGCTTTGGCTGGACTGAAGCCTTTAAAAATGTGACACCTTGTATTTTATTTCGTTCTTTTCTCCAAAAGGTCCAAAGATGTTTATGGGCCTGAGCTCAATAGGCTTTATGGTAGCCCATCAAAAAACAGCAATTGTTTCCTTCATCTTTATAGAGTGGAAAATAAAAGCACAGGAAGACAGAGTAACCCTTTTGAGGCCACACAGGATTTCCAAAATGTGGTGGAAAGTCCGCTAAGTTCCCAGCACCTCAGGCCTAACTGAGAACTCTTTCTTTGCTTACGGGTGCTGAAGGTGCCTCACTAATCATCATGGGGCCTGAACACTCCCTCATTTGACAGAACCTGTCAGGGACCCCCATTTCCACAAAGATCTATTACATTGGGAGCTGGAGACCTGAGGTGGAGAAGAGGGAGACCCAGGGAAGACACTGTAAAAGACTGGCCTGGAAGCTTTCCCTGCTGGTTCCTGACTACTGAGGTGATATGTCCTAGAGTTAGTAGAAGAGTTGAGTTGGTGCATCCCACAGGATATCTCCAGGGTAGTCTCTTTTGGGAATGCTGACAGCTATTCTGGTCTATACTGATTTGGGAATGAAATATTTGGGGAAGCTGGTAAGAAGTTTAAACATATTGCTTCTTCAAAAGGCTTTCCATTATTAGGATGTTCTCTAGTTTATTGAAAGTTTTTTATGTAGGACATCCTGTGGATCATCCTTGGGTTCCACAAATGGCACTTTGGGAAATGCTGGTGAATACATGGCAAAGCTAAGACTTCGCCTTGTTGCCATGCTCTAACAGACAGGGAGCCTGACAGCAGACTTGTGGATGGCTGCTGCCAAGCTGATGAACAGGGGTTCTTCCTTTCCCTAGCTGGTTGTCCAAACTTGACATTCACTGTGATCCTGTGATTCACATTCATATATTTGGTCATAATTTTAGTTTTTTGAGTCTTCACTGGATTTTTTCTCTAGATTAGAGTACAGGTGTGAAGACCACTTCTCTCCTGTGCCTGAGCTGAGCTGTCTGGAGCCCATGCTGGTCAGGTCTTGGCTTATTGCTTGTCCAGGTGACAGTGACAATGGACAAACAAAGCCAGCAAGATGGTCCCTTGGAAGGACTGGAATATGGCTGGGGGAATAGCCAGGGGTATATCCAGGCTACCTATTCTCTCCACAATTGAAATTTTCTACATGCAAAGGGAAGGATTTATATCAGAGGATCCATTACCAAGGATTGTTTTAGCTCTAGAGCTCCTTGACTTCATACCCTTGCCAACTGCCCTGATACACCTTCCTAACTTTCCTTTCCTTTAATTTTCAGCTCTTAACCATTGATGATAATTTCTGTGGCCTGGATATGAATGCCCCCCTGGGAGTGTCTGAGATGGTGCGTGGCATTCCAGTCTTCACAGAGGACAGGGACCGCATGACTTCTGTTATCGCCTATGTCTACAAGAATCACTCTCTGGCCTTCGTGGGCACCAAGAGCGGCAAGTTAAAGAAGGTAGGAATGAGGTGCAGCTGTTTTGATGACTGTGAAGACAATCTGTCCCCACAGTGATGGCTGTTATCTCATGGCTTGTTAATGCCGTGAGCCTTTTGGGCTGCGAGGACTTGTTGGAGCTCAGATACGCTGCTGTGGATGTCACGGTGATCTTGTCTTTTCCCTGCCTTTGTGCTGAGGTTGTTATGGGACCTGTGTATTCACTTTTTTAGAGCCGATGTGCAAAGGAGAGGTGTTAGGCCTGCCTCATTAGGTCGTTCCAAATGGTGCACTCTGTTCAACTGAGAGTTGAGCCCTAAGGCAAGGGCTTTATTAGGTCTAGCGGTTGGGAAAGGTGGGGGTGGGAACATGCCTTTTCTTCTACTCCAACCCTTCTGGCTGGTGCATCCATCTGGAATCCATTCAGGGAACAGATGGAGGAATGCACAGAGCTGCTAGAGTTGCTAATGGAGCTGAGAGCCAACTTGTGGGACAGGAAACCATAGATGCCATGGGAGTGTAGAAACTGCTGAAGGTAGAGTGGAGTAGTATGGTCTGAGAACCTGGCCTGTGCTCCTTGTACCCCAGAAGCTGGTTGGCTCCTGGGGCACCAGGTGATGTTGACCCGCTGGCATTGTTGGGAGTGTTCTCATCTCAGTGAGATGGAGTAGGTGCCATAGCATGCCCTCCTTGCTGAGGACTGAGTCTAAGACTGCAGGATATGGTCCTGTATTCTGTTGCTAATACCTGTACTTCAGCCCATTCCTAATAAATGTCGCTGATTCCATGTGAAGCTCCTACTCTTATTTAGACTGCCTTTGAGATTCTTTGAACATTGCGTGAGTTAGACTAAGTAAAGAGGTATTGCCTGATGGAGACTGAGCCTTGATCCCTATGTTTTCCTTTGGTGCATTTCTGAGCATCAGCTCCAGATGAAGGGCAGGGAATAAATAGGTCTATGCAAACCTAGAAGACTCTGTGTATTTTACTATACTACTATGTAACAGCCAATAATCATTTTTTCCCTGATGATTTAGTATGATCCCAGCATAGGACCTGGATCTGGATTGGGACAGCATGCAGAGCGAGAGGCAGGCAGCAGTGCAAGTGGGGAATGTGCATGTACGTAGTATCTGAAAAAGAAAACCAGGTACTTGGCTGTAGCCAGGGCCTCTGTGAAGCTGATGGATACAGTGCACTGCGCTTCCCACAGTGCCCAGGAAGAGGTGCACCTCATTTTAGAGACTGCCTTCAGTGTCATAACTGGAGAACAAATTTCTCATTGTCTACACATCTTCAGGAATTATATTTCACAGGTCGCAGCCCTCTCTGCGAAGAGCATAGTAAATATAATTAAATCATTTCTTGCTGCTGTGACTCTATATTTACTCACACACTCAACTGAGATTCTTAGACCCCAAGAGAAGATGCTGCCAGTGTCTGATTGTTACAGTCTTCCTAGCTCTTCTAATGTATGTCATTAATTGCCACTTCCGTGTTGCTGGGGGAAACATGGGCCAGCTCTTGCAGCTCTCCTCCTTCAGTCTGGGCCTTCATGGGCTGGGCAATCAGAGAGACAACTTGCTGAGATTGTGTCCAGAGAGCCTCAGTACACACCAAGAAAGAGCTGCATGCATTTTTGAACAGAGACAGACCTGGTGGACATTTCTATTGGCTGTTTTAGTGTTTCTGCTTTTACTATTATCAATGATTTCAGTTTCCTAGAAAAGCGAATGCTAAATCCCAAAGGCATTGATGTTATAGTTTGGATCCTGAATGTCCCCGAAAGGTCTATGTGTTACAAACTTGGACCTCAAGGTAATATTATTGGAAGATGTTGGAATCTTTGAGAGGTAGGGCCCACCAGGTGGTCCCGAGGTCATTGAGGGCATGCCCTTCAAAGGAGTATCAGCTCCAGATGAAGGGACGGGAATATATAGGTGGGTTTATCCCACCACATGCTCTGGCTATGCTGTGCTAGCTCACAACAGTCCAGAGCACTGGAGCCAAATTTATCTTAGACTGGATTCTCCGACACTGAGCTATAGCAAACTTCTCCTCTTTATAAGTGAATTTTCTGAAGTGTTTCACTATGGTGCTAGGAAGCTGACTGACCCAGTTGCCTTAATCAGCTCATACAATGGAACCTCTGTGGAGGAGCATTTCCTGCTCTGAAGGGAGAGTGAGCACTACTGAGACTTAGTAACAGGCAGCACTTAGAGGTACTGAGCCTTTGTTATTCTGTGTGCCCAGTCTCCATGCCTTGGAGAAGTATCTTCCTCCATTTCCCTAAAACATTTCTGTGTATCAGCTTCTACCAGCTGCCAGAGGACCATGTGCTTGCTGGGTGAGAACTTATGTTTTGTCCTTGTCTGGATAGAAAATGATGTCAGTGAAATGAAAATTGAGAGTTCAGTGCACTTAACAGAAAAGACAGTCACTGGGGCGAAATACCTGGTTCCTGGTCAGGGGTGCTCCATGAACCTGAGACATTTGTCTCCTAGATGTGTGCTGTGGGTGCCTGGGTGGAATGGAAACAGATGGTGGCTGGTGCTGGCCCCTGTGGAACCTTGTCCCCTACCTGGGAAGGCAAGTGCAGTACATCTCCATGAGTGGGACAAAGTTACCCAGGAAACTGGGGGTGAACAAATTCTTTCTTAGAAACCTTCATGGAGCAGGTGAGGGAGAGCCAGGCAGATGGGGACCAGCAACCCCTGCCAGACAGGCTTGGGCTTTCTAAGCCATGCACTGACATTTTCCATTATTCCTCTGGTGGGTTTATATGAGAGTGATTCTCTTTTGGCCATCTGGGACATTATATTTAATTTCCAGAGCAGCGGCGAGGCTGGTGAGGCATAAACATCTGAAATCTAAGCACACAAGGGTCGCGTGGGGGGAATGCGCCACCCATCCTCCTGAGGCAAGTCACGCCATCAAGGCCAACAAGCTTTCTGCTCCATGGGCTAGGGTGGCAGTCTCTTAATAGTTTTGCTCAAACCTGGTGACCACTTCTGCAGTCTCAGCACAGCTGGCTCAGGGGGACTGAGTTGGGAAAGGAAGGCTTGGCTGTCACATTTGTTGTTTGAAATAATAAAAAGCAAAAGTGCTACGTTTATTTTTTTTATCTAGACAATAGAATTTCCCACCACCCATAGCTCACTGGGCCCCATGCCCCTTTCCTTGAAATAACCCCGATTTGCTTTGCCCAGAGGTTATCACGTCCATGGCCACCTTTTGGGCAGAAGCCCAGCCACAGCAAGCTCAGGGCTTGGGAGGGTTTTGCAGTGAAGTTTTGGGAGCCACTGAGCCCAGACCGTGAGAATAATGGAAATCATACAGGAGCCGTAATTACAGAGTTGGTGTCTCTGAGCCCTGTAATAATCTCCTGTGTGTACTGGGGCCTTTCAGAGTGACTGAAAGGACTTGGAGTGAGCAGAGTGGGCGGGAGGGAGTTTAGGAGTTTGTTGAGAGTAAAGGAGTTCACTGTGGACTTTGGGGGCCTAGGAGCAAACTAGGCCCCTGTGACTGTAGCTAGCCATAGGTGCTCTCAAAATTACTGACTTGATTTCGTATGAAAAGTACAGGCCCTCATTGTTTGCAACCCTGCCTTTGATGACCGTAATTTCACTTGTTGAAGTGCACACATCACATAAGGCAAGGGGAAAGGAGGTGAGAGAAGTGGCAATTTGGATGTTTTCTGTATTTTCTGCTCTCTCTCTCTCTCTCTCTCTCTCTCTCTCTCTCTCTCTCTCTCTCTCTGTTATGGACAAGGCTTGCAGCCTCTTCTGATGGTGAGTGTTAAAGCTTTGTACTATTAAGAAACACAACATGTAAATGCCACTGTCATCAGGAGAGCCAAAGCACTTGGAAATAACTCACTGACTATTAAAGTTTCAACTTCAGGCGGAAATCATAAGGCAAACACCACCTGGACTTGCTTTAGGGTATTGCTATAAATCTGAAAACCTTTGGCCCAAGTTGGGGTAACCAGGTCAGGGTTGTGTCAGAAAGACAAGCCGTCTGTGCTTACAGATTTCTGCTGAGATCCTCTCTACCTCTTCCTTTCCTTTCACTAAGAGATCATATTTTGTGGCAGCTACTCAGCAGTGAATTACTGCCTGACATTAGTGGGAGAGACTAATCTTCATTGTGAACCAAAACATCATAAACTTCCACTTGAGGTGTGATCGCTCCTTTTGTTTAGTGATTGCGTCTTTCCTGGGTGTTTCTGCTGGGTTACACTGTGTAGACCTAAGGGCAGGAGCCCTTTGTGGGTGGGTGTTAGTTAAGCAGGCTTGGTCTATTGTTGTGAGGCAGTATGGCAGGCACCCATGTGTATTTTGCATTCCATGCCAGGCCAGCTTCTGAGTAAGAACTCTGTGTGTGTGTGTGTGTGTGTGTGTGTGTGTGTGTGTGCGTGTGTGTGTTTATGAATACAGAATCAATAGATATATAAAATGCAAAATCATTCTTATTGGCAATGGCTGTGAAGATTAATTTAATCATCTCAGTCCCTTCCCCTCCACCTAGATCTGTTTTAAAATTGATTTGCTTGTGTTCCCTATGCTGTCAGTAGGAGTTCAGAAAGGGACTGAGGCTGTAGTGGAGTGTGGTGGAGAGAGACACACCTAGGCTAAGTGCCTTCTGAATCCTAGTTCTCAAAAATGAAGGCTGGGTGTGTCTGCAGTGTTTGGTCTCAAAACAATATCAGATCAGCTGTTTTAGCTCCTCTTTGCCACTTCCTAAATATGTCTAGGAATTTATTTTAAAAATTCCTCTGGAAATATACATTCACTTTAACTAAAAATAAGTTCATACCATGTAAAGCTCTGCAGATGGGTAGAAATATGGAGAAATGAAACCGAGGTACAGCATCGGAACATTCCTGGCCCCTTGGGGGAGAAGGACCATGAAGGCAGTTTGGAGTTTTGATTGTTTTCACTGTATTGCTTTATATTTTGTACCCTAAGTTCGACAAGTATTGAGCCTGCTTAGGTCTTAATCTGTGCTCTATATACTTG